CACAACCAAATGGAAATCTGTCTTCAGGGTCGTGAGGAAGCAGTTGTTTAAAACCAGAATTCGTGGGGGTGACCGGTCAGCTCAGTTGGTTAGAGTGTGGTGCCGATGACACCAAGGTGCCACTTCGATCCCAGCATGGGCCACTGTGAGCTGCCCTCTCCCTAAAAGAGTCAGCTGTGCCATTGTAGCAACGTGTAACCAATGACCATGTCTGCACTCCACTAAAATTCAAGACAGAAAATTGGGGCCAGCCGGGTGGCTCAGTTAGTATGAGCACGAACTCTGAGCAACAGGGTTGCCGGTTCAATTCCCACATGGGCCAGTGAGCTGCGCCCGAGCTGAGCTGCCACTGAGCTGCCAACAGGTGGCAGGATGGCTCAGCTGGTGAGAGCACATGCTCCTAACTACAAGGTTGCCGATTCGACTCCGCATAGGATGGTGGGCTGCTCACACCCGGCACACACCCGTAAATAAGACTGAAGGACAAGTTGGCTCTTCCCTTCCTCAATTCCCCACACTGTTCTCCGTCCCCAATATCCCAATAACATCTAAAAAAAAGAAATTTTTTTTTAAAGATAAAAGCAGGATTCAATATCCAGCCAAACTATCAGAAAGTGCGAAAGTAACTGGAGGCAGTTTCACATACACGAGAAATCTTAAAATGTAAAACCCACCAACATATATGACAAAGCCTTTGCTCGTTTAGCACGGCAAACTGAAAGTGAAAAACATTCACACTTCAGTTTGAAATATAACAAAGGGAGGCACCTTAGCGCAGTGTGGAGGAAAAACAGAAGGCGGAAAGAGAAAGAGCTAGCTGGCAGGATATCGAAACTCTGAGCGTTCTTACAAGGACATCAGTCCTTTGAGGGGGAGGGCACTTAGCTTTCTAGGACCCAATCCTCTGTACCACCTGTATTTTATAAGGATCAAGTTACACCATATGCTTATATTTTTAAATGCTTTAATGGATTAAAAATGTTAAAACACTCCAAACACAGGAGCGGTGCCATCAACTCGGCACAATGTTGCCTCAAATAATTTCCGTAAGTTTTCTGGCGGCAAACAAGGGGAGATGGGATACACAGCCTGCCACTCTGCCACAAGTTGAATGAGGAAAAGCTAATTATAGGAAGTAAACCAGCACTAATGAGGGTTCTCATGCAACCGTCTCTCAGCACCAATGAGGAAGGGAGGGCGTGGGGAACCTCCTGCTGGGGCAACGCACACACCAGGAGGGTATAAAAGCCGACAGACAGCCGAGCACCTCACACTCACACACGCACTCACACTCACACCCTCCTCCCAGCTCCCCTCCAGCCCCACCGCCCACCATGGCCGCATCCACCCTGTCCGTCTGCTCCAGCGACCTGAGCTATGGCCGCCGCGTCTGCCTGCCCGGTTCCTGTGACTCTTGCAGCGACTCCTCCTGGCAGGTGGAGGACTGCCCAGAGAGCTGCTGTGAGCCCTCCTGCTGTGTCCCCAGCTGCTGCCAGCCCCCCTGCTGTGTCCCCAGCTGCTGCCAACCCTCCTGCTATGTCCCCAGCTGCTGCCAGCCCTCCTGCAGTGTCTCCAGCTGCTGCCAATCGCCCTGCTGTGTCCCCAGCTGTTGCCAATCCCCCTGCTGTGTCCCCAGCTGTTGCCAATCCCCCTGCTGTGTCCCCAGCTGCTGCCAATCCCCCTGCTGTGTCCCCAGCTGCTGCCAATCCCCCTTCTGTGTCCCCAGCTGCTGCCAGCCCTCCTGCTGCACATGTTCCCCCTGCCAGCAGCCCTGCTGCGTGCCGGTGTGCTGTAAGACTGTCTGTTGCACACCCATCTGCTGCAAGCCTGTCTGTTGCACACCCGTCTGCTGCAAGCCCGTCTGTTGCACGCCCATCTGTTGCACACCCGTCTGCTGCAAGCCCGTGTGCTGCACACCCGTCTGTTCTAGGGCCACCACCTGCCCAGCCCCCTCGTGCTGCTGCAGACCCTCCTCTTGTGTGTCTGTCATCTGCCGCCCCGTGTGCTCCCGCCCGGCCTGCTGCGTCCCCGCCTCGGCCCAGAAGTCCTGCTGCTGACCCTTCCTAGACCCCATCCAGGGTCCTTGCCCAGCAGGCCGCTGCCTCTCCAGCCAGCTACACACCCTCTGGCGTTCCCAACCACAGGCCACAGGACAAGCCCTCCCCCTGGCTCAGCCCCTACAGGGTTGAGGGACCCAGATGTGCACCTCGTCCTCCTGAAACTGGTGGCACAGACACCCCTGCAGCTCCACCCCTGACCCCTGGGCCCCAGCATGGGTCCTGCGGCCTCTGCAGGCTGCTCTCATCCCTGGCAGGGACATCACCTCTCAATCCTAATAAAGCCACAGCTGTCTCACTCTGACCTTCTGTTTGTGTGTGGGCACCTTGGGGACAGAATAACGGGGGCACATGGTGCTGGCCTGTGTCAGCCCCCCCAGCCAGGCCGCTCTCAGCCCTGTGGGACCCCAGCCCCACCACGCAGCCCCCAGGCCCATCTCAGGAAAGCTGCCTCTGGAACCAAGGCCAGGTCACAGGGGCCTGCCACCATCGCCCTCGCGCAGTGCGCTCGGCATCTTGGTCAGCGCCAGAATTGTGGAATAGAAGGAAAGGGCACTGCACAGTTTCCCAGCACCGCGCGCACCCCATCGCCCCTCCGCCCCGCCGCCTCAGCCAGGACCAGGACTGATTGCACGCCTGCTCTCACTCAGATGCCCAACGTTGGCTTCCCTGTTTTCAAAAGCCGTCAGGTCTCCCCCTGGACCTGCCCTGCCAGCCCCAGCCCAGGGATCCCTGACCCAGGAGCCTGTCTCTGTGAGGGCTGGGGGGGACCTGGGTCAGGTCAGCCCGGCCCCTGGAAGACTTATGCTCAATGCAGTCACAGTGGAGAGACGCCTTGGCCAGTGACACACGTATTCCACAGGCCAAGGAGAGGGGAGCTGCACGGGAGGCTGTGGGTCACACATGAGAAACAGGGCATGAGGAGGGGTCCAACGCCCACTAAGCTGCACCCCAGGACGGCTGTGGGAAGACCAGAGGAGAGGAAACCGTTATACTTGTCCCAGAAGCCAGCGCCAGACTCCCCAAATTCCCCTAGCTCAGGACACATGCCCTCCCCAGCTCCACCCACGGAACCAAGTCTCCCCGGAGCCAGCCTGGGGTGGCGTGACAAACAGAGCCCATTATGGCCAAGAGCAGAACGTCAGACCCTGGGTTTTCAGCTTTCCCGCTCATCACTGTCCTGTTCCACAAGACACTGTACCCTGGCAGCAATTTGCGTCTGTACAAGAGGATCCCCGAGGGCCACTCGCACGGGGCTGCCTTTGGAAAGGACTCAGGCTGCGACTGGACACGTCTAACACTACAGCACGTGACCTCATGTCGTCCTGCACGTGTTACGTGTATTCCCATCATTTCGCTCAAGCAGCACTCGGGCCCTCAGTTCTGGACAGTGGAGTGGCCCCATGGTCCTCCCAGCCCTGCAAGACCCACTGAAAGGATATGTTGAAAGGTATGAGAAAATCTACCTCGAACAGTATAACAAGAAGCGGGCTCACCAGGACCCTTTACTTGTCTGCAGAAATAGAAGCTCAGGGAAACAGGTCAGTGTATCGACTGCAGCTGGACCCCATAGCACAACAATAAAATCGATTATTCTTTTCTTTAGAAAATCAAATGACTGACTCCAAGGAGCAGCCTTATCTGACGTGCAGTGAAACAGATTGCTTAAGAAATGGTGCAAAGCTTTTAAAAACACACGCTCACATCGTCAGCGTTGTGACGAGCGCACCTAATTCATATCCCAAGACGAACTCAAACTCCTACATAAAACAAATAATCAAATAATGATATTTGAAAATAAAAAGCTCAGGAAAAAGTCCATGTAAAGGCCAAATAATACCCTAGAAATGGCAAAAGACTGAAATGTGCTCCGAAATATAAAATCAGGAAAATCTCTTAGATGACAGAGTAAACGATAAACATAAAAAAAATGACAGAAAAGCTGAGAGATACAAAGGCAAGTTCCAGGAGATCTGACATCAGATAGGAGTCACAAAAGCATGGACGAGGAAAGATAAAACCATGGTTAAATTGTACAAAAGCATTTCAAGAGAGGAGCCTTTACACAGAAAGGCTCAATGACCTTCGAGCACACAACATAGAGAAATACACACACCTACAAACCAAAACATGAGGCTGTAGAACAACAAAAAAAACAGATTCAAAGGCTCTTGCAGAGTTAAAAAAGAACAGTTAAACATAAAGAAGTGACAAATGACACCTTCACTGTCATCAGGAACAGTGGACAAAATAAACACCACAACCAAATGGAAATCTGTCTTCAGGGTCGTGAGGAAGCAGTTGTTTAAAACCAGAATTCGTGGGGGTGACCGGTCAGCTCAGTTGGTTAGAG